TTATTGATGAATATAAATCAAATAATTCCACTGAATCATGTTCCTTGAATCATCAAACTGATTTGGAATAGCAATTTGGGGAAAAAATGGATTTTTGAAAAAAAAAATCAATTAAATCAATTTCCCTGAATTGATTCAAGTAGTTGGATATAAGGCCAAAAGGACAATTCAAATGGAATCACTGACTTGAAACTGAATGGAGTAATCTGCACATTCCTGATGCTTAGTATGGGCTTGCTTTTCAAGTCTTGAAAGGAACAAGGATATTCAGTAGTGAATGAGAACACCACACAATATCTGAAATACTGATTTTCTTTTTGATTTAAAAAGAAAAAAGAAAAATAACAAATCCCACCCTGAATCTGGTATAGTCAGCAACATAATGACGAATTGGAGATTTATTGTTGTCTTAGCTAAACCACAGTCAACATTTTAGATTCCTTGTTGAGCTTTTCCACATGTATGAAACTTTTCCATCCATTCCATGCCTTTCTCTTACCTCCTACAATTTTAAGAACAGAGACTAGGATGAACTGGGGTGGGATGTGTGTGTGTGTGTGTGTGTGTGTGTGTGTGTGTATCTTTCTCTCTCTATGAAGCTTTTCACATGTTGTCATTGGTATCCTTCTTTGTTTTTCCCTCCCAATCTTACAAGAGTTTACTAGCAAAAAAAAAAAAAAAAAAGGCAGATACTTGTTTTGGCAGTAGATAAATCTCAGCAAACCCTAATGCACATGTTGATGAGGAGCATGGAAGTAGTATACAAATGCATCAGGAATCTGTTTGGGTATTAGACATGCTTGATGTTGTGCCCATATGTCTGCTTATTTCCATACCAAAGACATTTACTGTATACATTGGCCACCAGGGAGAAGGGCTGTCTACTATTCAGCAGTATTACTGGAAGAGCAGTATTGTATTTGTATTTGGTGGAGTCTTCCATTTCCAGTACATGCACAGATCTTCATTCTGTAGCTCGTATCCCTGAAAGAGTTCCTCAGACTATCTTTCACCACCTGGCCAATTACTGAATCCTTCTCTGCAATACGTAACTTGCTACAGTCGAAGCGAAGGGACTGCGGATCGCTCTCAGCAAAGTGAGTGATCATTAACGGCACCGAGGCTGGATAAAGCTTACAAATGAACAGCTCTAAGTGGGGCTGCAAATGCAGCAGCTTTTTGTAATTCAAATGAAGCTAATAGCATGGGAACAAATTGTGGTTCATATTAGATTAACTTCTTTGGAAAGATATAAATTGAGGAGAGTTAAGATTGCCTGGAGCTGGGCTGACCAATGAAGGGAATGCTTTGAAATACAGGATATTCCAGGAGGTGGGACTACTAAGGGGATAGAAAAGCAGGCAGAACAAATTCTTCATTATTCAGGGCGGTCACTCAGCTTTGGTTTCCCGCAATTTCCCTAAATTAAGAAAAGGCCAAACATCATCAATTATAACCATATCATCATTTTCCAAACTATCTCAGAGAGAAAATGACTTTGGCCTGGCCTGGCTCTGCATTTGTTTTTCACAAAGAGGTAAGCAGATTGATGTATTCCCCTCTTTCGTAGGCAACCAGTAATAGGATCCCTGTGGATTCTACCTTTCCAAATAAGAAAGCCTAATTAGGGTCTCTTAGTAGTGACAAAAGAAGCAGATCCTGGACAGATTTCCAACTTACGAATGGGCTACAGGATTGACAAAGAATCTGCAAAAATCCCAGTAGGTGGATGAAAGAAACAGCACATACTTTACATCCAGAAGGATTTAATAAAATCCAGGGATTCAGCAGATAGCCCTGAGAAAGAATTCTGGCTGAAACCTGATTAGAGAGATCCATAACTGATCAGCATATGATAGGATGGAATAATGTAACTTTTTATATTCCAACAAAAGATACTGGGAATGTGGCGTTTATGGGCCCTCCCAATCAAAACAAATTTCTATTTATTGGGGCAGCTGCAATTTCCAGGTATCTGATTAAAGAAAATCAGCTTGGTTCTTTCATTATGGCCCTTCTACTGGTAGGGAGGGAAAGAGGTATTTCTTCAGATAGTTAGGCAGTATTTAAACAGGGATGTCTATCAAGATGTTTCTGCATCTTATTAGGAAAGGATTGGGGTCCTCATAAAATAAAATTCCCACTCCCCCCCCCCAGAGTTGAATGTGGCATTTGAAGGACTCCTAATCTACGTAATTTATCCCAGTAAAAAGCCTGCGAAGGTTTGGCTAAGAAAAACTGATTGGCTCAAAGTCATCCAATGGGCTTCTGTGGTTAGCATAGATCCTGTTCCTAATCCAGCTCACTACTATACCACATTGTATTTTCAGCTTTATTTTCGTTGTGTTTTCAATGGATTTAATAGAAGTAATGAAAATTGCATTATTTTTATAACATTTTGTTGCCTTTCTGGCCATTGTTGGTGAAAAGGCAGAGCATAGAGTAGTACATTCAATATATTAAAACACAATCCAACCTTCAGTTTCGCATTATGATAATTTTAAGAGTGGTGTTTTCTTTAAATCAGTTGCCAAAGCTGGATATCTTTCGAAGCTTCATAAAATCTAGAACTCCTCTCACACTTTCTCTGGAGTACTTCATCCATCCAATCCAGTGACCACTTGAATCAGCCCTGAGAAAGTTAGCAAGGTATGGTTTTCCTTTGTTGCTTTTGCCTGCTGCTAGCAGCATCTATAAATTGACTCTAAAGGAAGATTCATTAAAGCTCAAGCAGAAACCCCGGTGGCAGGTTTTGCTTGTTCTGAATGCAGGATCTGATTCAAAAGCTGAAAGACTACATTACATGCTAGTGGTTACTAAACTGATTAAGAGCTGGTTTATCTTTAGCACTAAAAAGAGCTATCTGCTAATACTAAATACCATTTACCCGGCTCTGATTCCCCGAATCAATATTTATGTCGAGTGATGAGTACAGCACTATCAAATAGGTTTTTGCTCTCTGTTCTTCAGAGCTGCAGCGATTATTCAACCACATTATTCTGGGATTCAGTTCTTGTTTCTATTAAGCAAATTTGCAGTGTTCACACAAAAATTCATGATTGCATTTTTATTCTGGATTCCTTTTTTTTTTTTTTTTTTTGGAAAAAAGAAGATGTCTTTATTTTGTACCTAAGAATGAACAGGAAGCTTCAGTCAGTACTTTCCCATATATTTATGACCATGTTTATATAAAGTCTGTTCTGATTTTTTTAAATGTAAAATTCTGAGTGTTTTGTTGCAGCTTCTATAAAAACAGATTATAATTCATTAGGATCTCTCTCTCCTGTGAAGTTAAAAAATCTTAAGCATGAAAAATATGTTTTAAAAAACCATTAGCACCAGTACAATAGATTGAATTCAGTTCCAAATTGAAAGAGGCAAAGCACAATAGAATGGAAATGGCATTTGTATAGGAGCTTGTGTGGTACAGATGTTTACAAATGATTGCCTGAACTGTTAGAAAGCTAGAACATAGCTCCAAACTCCAAATGTTTAACTGCTCATGTGTGTACTCCAAATCTTTTCTCTTTATTGCTGATGCTTAGGGTTGGAGTTGGGAGAGGAATCTAACAAAACAGCCAAAGAGTCTAGAGACAATATATCAATTGCTTGATGGCTTAAATCTATGGTGTCTAGATTTTGGATATCCTACCCCTGGCATGACTTGGGACTAGCACAACTTGAGCAGCTGTTTCTGAATCAAGAAGATACAGATGCCCAGCAAAGTGCTAAGATTCCCCATCAGATTTTAACTGGTTCATGAATTTGTATGGCAAAGCAGAAGGCTCGTTTTTTTTCTGGGTAGCTATAGGACACAAATATGATTCCATGAATAACTAATTTATACAATTCCTTTAAAAAAAAGCAATTGGGGACCAGGCAGAAAGACTTTGGATTGGCAGTGTTACTACTATGGCCTTGAATGTGGCCCTCTCCCTTCTTTACTGAGAGAAGGCTATCTCCCTTCTTTACTGCCCCAGGGTTAAAGCAGTTCCAACCCTTTCAGAATTTAGAAGGCCACTATGATCTGTTGTTCTAGAACAGGGGTGTCAAACTGCCGGCCCATGGGCCGGTTTCATCATACCGGAGCCGCACCCACCCCATTGCCGGCAATGGCGAAAAAGCTCCGATACGTTGCGCGACGTCACGTCACGTCACGTGATGTCGCGAGTTTGACATGCCTGTTCTAGAAGGTTTTTGGGACTAAAGTGGATATTGTGTCCCTTCTGTAGGTTTTCTTTTCTTTCTGTCTTTTGTCAATATGAGAGTGTTTCCTTATTACTAATTTAATAGTACTAAATTACTACTAATGTACTGTTTCAAAGCTTATGATGAAGTTTATGTTGCTTAAAGACTAAAGTGGTTTATTTGCCTGAGTAATGAAGAGAAGAAAATATAAACATTTAGAAATAAAGAATTCCAAATCCTCAAAGATATTTTGTCTTCCACATCTGAATGAGGTACACCATCCTTCTACTATGAACTTTGCTTCTAATTGTTCCAAGGTTCTTTTACATCAGCAGTATAATTTAAAAGGCAGTGTATGTAATCATTGTTGCTCTTGTTAATCAGTTGCAAGTCACCAATTTTTGCAAGTTTACTGAAAATTGCCTGAAGTCTTCCCGTTGTTCTGCCTCTATTGTCTGCCAGCTCTTATTCTAGATGGGTAATTAAGGATGAGCTGTGAATGGTTGTCGTCTTTCCATATAAACAAAAAAAAGAGTTTTAAGATGACCAGGAAACATTCATAATTTTTAATTCACACCTGTAATAAAATTGCATTACATTTTTCATAAAATAAATGTTCCAGTTTATATACAGAAAAACAGACTGTACAGAGCTTTTCCCCAGCTTCCCCCCTCCCAACTCACAAACATACAGGCAAATGCAGTGCTCAGCTAAGCAGGCACAACTGTACATCTAAAATTGGAATTGCTGTGTGTTATTTATGCATGTGTGTGAGTGTGTGTGTGTTTGTGTGTGTGTGTGTGTGTGTGTGTGAGAAAGATACTACAATGTAGATCGTCCTTTGGGGACCAAGGATTAAAAAAATATTGCAGGCAAGCTGAGAGACGCCTTTCACTGCTAGTGTGGCTGAACGTCCATTCCACAGTGTTTCAGCCAAACTGGATTTGCTATTGAACTTGGGGCTCAAAGCTTCCATTCAGTTGCCCCTCCTCATAGTCCATCTGACACAAGATCATGTTGTTCTTCAGGAAAAACTTGTCCCCCACGCAGAATCTAAAACACAATAAACAAACAAACCATTAGAAGCTACTTTTATCAATTCCAGAGCAGGGGAATGAAAACATCCTGTGTATTGGCACAACGTTTGTTTCTCATTCCTATTTGTGAAGAGAGAAAGAGAAAGAGAGAGTGAGAGAGAGAGAGAGTGTGAGAGAGAGAGAGAGAGAGAGAGAGAGAGAGAGAGAGAGAGAGAGAGAGAGAGAGAGAGAGAGAGAGAGCATTTACATACATCATGTACAATTCTCCAATTTTTTTTTTTTTTTTTTCTTAATGACAGATTCAGATGATTCTATTTCACCTTCAGTGGTTCAATTTTTTTTTTTTAAATCATTTAAGAAGTCTGTGTAAAACATAACCCACATTTGATTTACCTTTTAAGCTGAGTGAGACAGTCTGGCTCAGTGGGAAAAAGTGTCAGTTATTTAATTAATTGATAAATATTTATCTCCACAAAAGTGCGTGCTTGTTTGCACTGCACCATTTAGTGTTTTTACCTTAGGCATCAAAGGGTCCTGCTTCTCGAGTAATAATAATCAGAGAGAGAACATTTACCCTGGAATCTTCACATCTCAAAATCAGCTTTGCTTAATTTATTTTCCTCTAAAATGTCAGTGTTTTGGATACTTTTGACAAAATATCTTGAACTTCCAATTTAATGAAAACTATCTTACAAAATCATCTTAGTTCAGGCTGAAATCTAGTTAAGAGAAGGCAGCATGAGTTCTACAGAAGAACAGGACCATGGACAGTTCATGATGGATCGGGAAAGATTCTTACCGCAAAAAAATCAGGCCAGAATAAGGAGTCACCTAAAGACACTGAAGGAAGAGTGTGATAACTGCCAAGTTCAATTCCACTCAATTTCTTATTTTCCCAATGATAACTTCATTTCTGTCCTGCACCCACTTTAATTTGGGAGTTCATGAGAGAGAAAACATCATGTAAAAATTGTATATAAAACATTACGTGTATTTTGCATGTGCATTTATTAAAAGGAAGTATTCTTGTATTTATTTTTTTCAGTTGTACTGATCTGTCATTAGTTAATTTCTCTTTAACACTGTGCGTACTGTTTATCAATAAATCTGTGCAATGTAGAAGTTGGTGTATTCCAATAAGTGAAAAGAGCAGAAAGATGCACGTTAGGTACATTCAGATAAGGTAGCAACTAGTCCTGCTGGCAGAGTTGATTTACCTGGCTTTATCTATTCTGAAAAACCTTCTGGTGCTTAAAATGGATGAACACCTCCTAGAAGGGCCATTTTACAATGCCGGGAGTTCAAAAGTTATGAAATCAAAACAGGCAGGGCAATTTTCTCAAATTATGCAAAGCAAAGGCTACGCTGACATTTCTTTTCTCACGAGAGTCATTTACATGGTAGTATCTTCTGAAATGATTTATAAACCTGATTCCTGCCCCTTGCATTGTCTGAGTAGTATTCTGCAATTGCAACCTTGGAAAAGGAGATGTAGAGTCCATTGAGTTCAAACCCATGCTCATTGAAGCAATCCAAATTAACATTTTATATATTTTCATAACACCCCCCAGATATCTTTTATCAAGGCTAAGCAGAGTGTTTTTTTTCAATCTTCTAAATCTCATTTTTCTGTCCCATGATCACCCTGATTGCCATGTGTTGTTTATTTATTTATTTATTTTATTCAATTTTTATCCCGCCCTTCTCCTTATCGGACTCAGGGCGGCTGACAGCCTTATAAAACAGATACTACAATAAATACTAATTTAAAACCAAATTAAAAAGAAATATTCACTATGGCCTATATAATTAAAATTTCACTTAAAACCCCACTAAAAATTCCCTAGGCCAATCCCGCTTGTTGGAAGAGCCATGTCTTTAGGGCGCAGCGGAAGGAGGGGAGATCCGGAATCACCCGGATCTCTGGGGGTAGTTCGTTCCAGAGGGTGGGGGCTCCCACCGAGAAGGCCCTCCCCCTGGAGGTCGCCAGCCGGCACTGTCTGGCTGACGGCACCCTGAGGAGACCCACTCTGTGGGAGCGTACCGGCCGATGGGAGGTAATCTGCGGCAGAAGGCGGTCTCGGAGANGAGAGCATTACAGTAGTCCAGGCGGGAGGTGACGAGGGCATGGGTGACTGTGCGCAAGGCGTCCCGGTCCAGAAAAGGTCGCAACTGGTGTATCAGGCGTACCTGATAAAACGCCCCCCTGGTCACGGCCGACAACTGGTCTTCCAGTGTCAGCCGTGAATCCAGGAGGACCCCCAGATTGCGTACCCTCTCCGAGGGGACCAAAATTTCGCCCCCTATAGTCAGCGATGGAGTCAGCTGACTATGCCGAGGCGCCGGCAGCCACAGCCACTCGGTCTTGGAAGGGTTGAGCCTGAGTCTGTTCCTCCCCATCCAGACCCTTACGGCCTCCAGGCAGCGGGCCATCACGTCAAGGGCATCGTTTATGTTTTAGGTTCACTGAACCTTTCCTAAAACAAAGTTCCCAAAATTGGGCTCAGGTTTTGAGCTATGGTATGACAAATGCAGACTAAAATACAAAATTTGCTTCATACTATTTGGATGCTATGCTTCTGCTTACACCTATGTTCTATTTCACAGTTGCTCATATTCAGCTCTTTATTCTTTTTGCATATACTACTGTAATGTCATGCCTGGTATTTTCTTATTCTATTCCTGTACATTTAAATTCTTTCTTTTTAAATAAAGAACTTTGGGTTTGTCTCTATTAAAATTCTGTTCTGTTAGTTTTACTCCAATTCATTAACCTATCAATTCAAATAATAATAATAATAATAATAATAATAATAATAATAATAATAATAATAATAATAATAATAATGATGATGATGATGATGATGATGATGATGATGATGATGATGATGATGATGAAGAAGAAGAAGAAGAAGAAGAAGAAGAAGTAGTAGTAGCAGTGGTAGTAGTAGTAGTAGTAGTAGTAGTAGTAGTAGTAGTAGTTGGAAGGGACCTTGGAGGTCATCTAGTCCAACCTCCTGCTCAGGCAGGAAACCCTATACCATTTCAGACAAATGGCTGTCCAGTCTCTTCTTAAAAACTTCCAGTGTTGGAGCATTCACAGCTTCTGGAGGCAGGTTGTTCCACTGATTAATTGTTCTAACTGTCAGGAAATTTCTCCTTAGTTCTAGGTTGCTTCTCTCTTTGGTTAGTTTCCATCTGTTGCTTCTTGCCCTGCTTTCAGGTGCTTTGGAGAATAGCTTGACTCCCTCTTCTTTGTGGCAGCCATTGGAGCACTGCTATCATGTCACCCCTCGTCCTTCTCTTCATTAAACTAGACATACCCAATTCCAGCAACTGTTCCTTATATGTTTTAGCCTCCAGTCCCCTAATCATCTTTGTTGCTCTTCTCTGTACTCTTTCTAGAGTCTCAACATCTTTTTTACATCATGGTGACCAAAACTGGATGTAGTATTCCAAGTGTGAACTTTATTTTTGCTTTTCTATAGTATCATCTTGTTTATGCTATTGTCTGCCATGTGCAAATCTAATAAGGGTCTGATTAATAGACAATGACATGCTCTCTCAGTAAATAAAGAACAACCTGAAAACCTATCTTATGTCATCCTGATAGTAGTGGAACTATTGTTTAAAACTAAAATATCTTCATAATACCCTCATCCAATATGACCTAAAAAGCATGATATAGTATTACTGAGGCACTGTGAGAGATTTTGTTCAAAGCTTCTTCTGTCTTGGCTCACTCCTTCTTTAAATTTTAATCTATGTCTACATAAATTCTTATGAATAGAGGCTGTTTCACATTATATATTCATTGAATGCTGCACAAACATAAGCATCCTGTCTTGGTTGCCTTCTCTAATTACTTCCTCTGACATCCAGATGTCCATTTAAATGAATGATGGGCTGGAATTAGAGTCCTCTACACTGGCTTCTCCATTCTGGCACTTCTAGATGCATTGAAATGGCAACTTTTAAATCTGGAAGGCACCAGATGAGGGAAGAATGCTGGATATATTGTCTCTCAATACTTTAAACAAAGACACAGTGTGTGTGTGTGTGTGTGTGTGTAGGTATTAGAAAGACCAGCCTTGCTCACCCCATTCCCAAATTCGGTGCATCTCAAGCCAATGATTATATATTTGAAGTGGTATCTAGAAAGGGGATGACTAGGTGTGCATTCCATGGGACCAATATCATAATTGTTCACTATTTTCATTTTTTTTCAGCATAAGAAAGGTGATGGATGAATGATTGAATGAATGGATGGATGATACCAAACCTGTAGTTATTTAAGGAACTGCTAATGAGACATGCAATGGCATTAAAGTATTCTTCTAATATTAGGATAAATTTTAGAAGCCCAAACAATGTGTGCATATATCAAAATACATAGACAAATTTAGTAACATAGCACTATTTCTACTTCATATCTCATTATGCATGATTTGGATGCCTAAATTTGTCAGTGCAAATAAAAACTCTGCCATCAAGCCACACATTTCATTCAAACTAGATTATTTTTGCTAAACTCAAAAGACAATGGACCAGGACTCCGATGACTTATTCTTTCAATTTATATTTCAAATGTTATTGGATCTAAATGGAATTCAGATAAAATTAGTTGAATAATATGATCTTCCATTCAGTTTACATTGTGCACCCACTTCACTCAAACTAGACTGCTAGAAAATTATTGCCTACCAGATAGACTGATCCTTCCACAACTCTGTGACTCACTGGATTTATGCAGTCCATTTTTGCTACTTTATTTGTAATTCTGAAAGATACATAGACCTTTCTTTGGAACTGTGTCAGCCTTTGACAAAAGTGCAAAATGTTCGATACACAATGTAAACTAAACAGAAGATCATATTATTCAAAAAAATTTATCTGAATTTCATTTAGATCCAATAACATTTGAAATACACTTGGGAAAAAAAAGTCAGCTATGTCAAAGGAGTCCTTGCCCATTGTCTTTTGGATTTAGGACAAATAATCTTTTGTGGAGCAAAA